ACGGAACAACTGTTTGATTTTTTCATACATCGTTCATGTTTTCTCTTGATCGTGTATCTTAAATTGGTCGCGTTTACGATCATTTTGACATTCGTTATGTTAAGCTTATTTTGATTATATCGAGAGATATGGTCAAGAGAAGAGTTAGGAAGAGAGTTATTCTTCAATCAAGTCAAAAACCAACCCTTTAAATACATTTTTGAGTAGTACGGTTTAATTTATTAGACTATTTCAAATGGTTGCTTCCAACTTCTTAAATTCGATCCATTTGTTAACGAAACAACTGTTGGTGAAGTGATTGTTGACAAAATGGATCAATGTTTTATGTTAACGTTTATTTTTACGTTATCAAATTCACGATTTTGATTGGTCGATCAACAATTGCGTGGGTTAAATTTTGTGTTATCAGAACGGTCTCTCCTGTTATATGTAATAAATGATTGAATCAATTGAATCGTGTATTTTTGTTATTGTGATGCTATGAAACACTCGGCGCAGTGGTATTTTTATTTTTAGACCATCTTGTATAACGTTGTATGATGATAAATGATTTCATGGTTTGAATGTGCTCATCGTCTGTAAACTTGATTGCTTGAAGATGGACAGGGACATCGTAGAAAGTTGAGTTCCGTGCGCTGAAGTGGCCTGAGAGGAATTTCTCTACAAAAAAAAACGAAAAAAAAAATCTGGGGACGGCCATCCTATTTGTATTTTTTTGAATTGATAAAATAGACTATTATTGTCTTGACCCTGAGTGATGTCGTTGTGCGAGTAAAAGACACGAAGCTCGCTGTCACGTTTTCGTTTAAAAGCTTGTTTTATATAAGAGAAAATATGATTTTGTAACCGCAGTCAATTATCATTTGTCTGATCGGACTTTATACCATTTTTAGAACTATGATTTATTTTAAAAATAACTATAAAATTGTAAAAAAAAAAAAATAGTACTTTCTTATTTCTAATGTTTAATTGCAATTGCTTGTGAATATTGATATTTATCAAAGAAAGCAATAATAGATTTTAACATTAAATTTAATTACTATTACATACTTCTAATTAGTCACTGAACTTCTCGTGTCACAACGCCAATTTTGTATGGAAATTTTTTTTTTTGAATTGAATTTCACTGTAACCAATATTGAGACAATATTGATGATGATAAAGATATTTATTGTGCTAGTAATGATAGTGATGGATATATAGGCGCTAATTTTGGTGTTAACATGGTAACATGACATATCAACAAATGAAATCGTAACAATGTAGAGAAAGGTCTTGGCTTTAAAACTACAATTTTGTTTTTTTGGTCTTCATTCTATTTTGGGGAATTGAAGAATCTATAAAATCAATAAAAATATCAGTGATTTGCACTGTAGCTTGGTATTTTTAATTAGTTTTTTGGCCAAAATTGCAAGATATGTACAAATCAACCAACTTTAAATTCCAAAAATCTGCACATATAATAATCTATTTGTGTCTAGTCAAGGTCCTTCAATATCAATTGGACAAGCTCTAAATTAAAATAATTCCATATCGTGAGAATCCTTTTACTGAGCTGCAAATGATGAATGTTAACAAAGGAATTGATCTTGAACAATTTTCTCATACATAATGGCAATTAGGATAGGGGGACAGTATCAATATTATACACTACATAGTGTAGCAAATAGCTACATATGACAAAATGGAAACCATTTGTGCATTCAGCACAAATTAAACAACAACTGCCTGATGAAGTGTGTTCAACCAATAGTGTCAAAATCAACTGCCTGCGGTTCTACTGATCAACTGCTGGTGTACATTATTAAATGTGTAAATGATGGTAATTGCCCACGTAGTAATCACATTTTGCTCAGATAAACAAGGTACATGTTCATCATTACTAACTTTTGATCCTTCAATTAATTTGTTCTGAAAAGAAACTACTTTTTCAACATGATTGCTGTATTGTAATTGTTTAGTGAGTTTCCTCAAAATATTTATTATTCATTTTATACCAGTAAACTCTGATGCTTTATAGACATAAGCTAGGAAACCTGCAAGTAAGACTTTAGTCAATTGTTTTTGTTCATCAATATTTTTCATGGTTTCCGTAACACTAATTTATTTGCCATTTATTACTTATTTATAGATTATTGGATAGCAAATGATGTCTGTGATGAAAATGATTGACAACTAATCAATGGAGGAAATCTTTAAAAAAAAACCAATTTATATAATTAGTTAAAACTTGATCCCGAAATCTATCAAAATTAATTCTCTTTAGTAATTTTAATTTCCATATTTTGATTTTAAAAAAAATTCTTTCGAAATGTGTAATAAGAGTTTTTCATCCATTTTATTTAGCAACATTATTAATTCTAATATATTAATAAACTTGTAAATGACTTAATAATGTTTGCTAAATAATGCATATTATCATGATGTAGAAATCAAAGTCGGGGAAGACAAGGATGTCAAATATTCAAAGCACATTCACTATTTCAAAAGCAAAGTCTTGTATTTTTGAAACTGTTTTGTCAAATAATTGGTCAAAAAATCTAAAGATGGCATCATTTTATTTGAGAAAAAAATATTCTCTAAAAGTTCTTTTAATAATATAACAATGACAAGCAGTCGTAGTTATTTGCGGCAAATTGGTATCTAAAATTTCTTTGAACTGTAACTGATGAATTTTAATTGGTCCGTTGTTCGTAGATGGCTCCGAAAATACGGGAAGGCCATAGATAATAATAAAATAAAGCTTAACCGGTTAACCGGTTAAATCTCAATTTTCGTGCAGTATATATTATTATTACATGTTCCGCTTTATTTTTGCTGATCAAATAAAAGAATGAGATAACTGCAAATTTCCTTGTTTGAGAGACACTTACCAGTCAGTTGTATTATTATGCGGATATTTTTATTAGTTAACTCGTGAAAATGTTGGTTCATGGTGTCAGATGGCAAACATCATGCATTCAAGTTCTTGTTCTGTTTTTCTTTGCTGATAAGAATGCCAGCAATTTTCCAAAGCTTGGGTTTTTGGCTTCTCTTTTCTTTGAGTCTATCGGACATTTTTTTAAAAAAGCAATTATTAATATCGAACATATGTTTAGTCGCCATCATACATTTGTTCATAGCAATGAATGGAATAATTTAGTTGATGACTTGAGATGTGAAGCGGTTTGTCTTCTTCGATATCAACAAGAAAGCATTTTTTCGACTGCGCCATTCTAGAACAAGACAAATTACCAAGATTTTGGTGATATATGGCATGGTTATTTAGTTGTATACAATATGCTATGTTCCAAAAGTAAAAGTCAAATTCTGATAGTTTCGAAAAAAAAATTTCTCTTTATATAGTAATAATAACACAGTTTTTTGGTGAATAGAAACACGAAAATATTAAAATCATCCGTTTATAAATACAAAATCTTTTAAATTTTTCCAAAAATTTTTTTTTAAATTAATTTAAATTAAATTATTATTCTTCATCATCTTTTTTTGTTACAAATTTATTGTTTGATTGCTTTGTATGTGGGAGAGAAAATGGCGTTGTTAAATCGCTTTCCTCAAGTCTATAACATACAATGAATTTTGAGTAATTATTCATTAACTAATCAAAAGAAAAAGAGATTTATAATCGATCAACTCACCTTCTAAATTCATAACCTCCCTCTCCATCAAATCTTAGAAGCCACTCATGATATTTAACTATATAATATTAATTAATCAATCATCAATCATCAATCATTAATTTAAAACGAATCGATGAAATTATAATTAAAAAAATACTTGCACTAAAAAAAAATTTTTTTAAGAGATTTACAAAGTTTGTTAATATTTTAGTTGAGAGAAAATATACGAATATTGATAATAATGATTATAGTAGTAATGATAATACTTACTAGTGAATGCCTATGTGAGACGGTAAATAGTGTGATGCCAACTTTACGAGCATATGTATACATAATGCCTTCTACATCAACACTAACAGCTGATGTACACTCGTCTAATATTGCCTAAAAAAAATTATTTTAAATAACAATCAATAATGTTAGTTGATATAAAAACATCATCATCATCACAATAAAAAATATTTGGATAAACAACTTACAAATTGTGGACGATGATAAAAAAGTCTAGCCATTGCAACTCTCTAAATAATATAAATATATTACTGTTACTTCCTCGCCTGACCTCAATAAAAAAACCACTCACAATATTCGCATGTTATCTAACTACCTGTTTTTCACCACCGGATAAAACATCAGCCCAATCTTGTACAGCATCCCAGCCACCCTCACGTTCAACCAAATAGCCCAAATGCACAACTTCAAGTAGTTCCATCAATTTCTCATCATCCCATCCTTTAGTTCTTGATTGAACTCTGGTATCAGGATAGATTATCTTTAATATATTGATATATTTATTTGCGTTTATGTTAAATACTTATTTTTTATCAATAATAATGTAATTATTTATATTTTAAAATTTACTTGATCACGAAAAGTTCCAAGTGCCAAATATGGTTTTTGAGGAACATAAAATAATTTGGAAGGTGTTGGTTTTGTAACAACTCCATCTATCAAATAAAATAAATAATTAATTATTAAAATTTTTTTAAATAAATAATTTTTTCTGAATGATGAAATCTCACCAAATAAAGGCCATAAATCTCCAAGAATACGGAATAAAGAACTTTTACCCTATTATCAATTAATCAATTAATATATTCATATAGTTAAAATAAATAATGGATAATAGATATCATATGCACACGTACACATCCATTAGGCCCAGATATTAAACAATTCATTCCAGTCTGAACTTTGAATGATAATTCTTTCACCTAATACAATAATAATTATTATTAATATCAATTAAAAAAATTATAATTTATTCGAAAAAAATCTTATTAAATGTTTTGTAAATTACCAAAACATCATAATTAGGAGTAATAATTGGAACTTTTTCAAAAATTATAACACCATCACTTCTTATAATTTTTCCTTTAAGATCGCTTGGTGTTACAGCTATAAATATATTTATATAAAATAATAATTCGTTTCTTTTTAAAAAAAAAAACGTGAAGGATATAATAATCATATATATAATTAACATTTACATTACCTCTACTAACATTTGCTTCTTTAGAATCTTTACTTACAACCATGGCTCGTTCATATCTACCCTTATTAACATCCTCTAATACATCAAACAATTCCGCAACACGGGACTTTTTAAAAAAGAAAGTAAATCTTCAATTAATGATAACAATGATAATATAACTATATTAATACTATTAATATATCATCGTTACTAACAGTGTACCCAGCAAATCTGGTTAAATCACGGCCAGCAAGAATTAATCTTCCAATAGCTTGTGATAAATTCACCAAGTATCCAGCTATTTTTACATTTTCAATTATAATAATATTATTATTGCTGTTGATCTGTATATTGAAATTAATAATATTAATAATAATTAAATAAATTATATATAATTTTACAATTTCTTGAGTAGTCTTCCATAATCTTTGTTGGATCAGCGTCCATTTTACCCATGAATTCAGTGGCTAAAATATTAAAAAAAAAAGTTTTTTAACAAAACTTTAATACCAAATATTATAGATCATAATTTTTCCCTTACCGTATCTAGGATCAAATACTGGTCTCGATAAAAGACTATATATATATATTAAATCCATATAAATAAATAAATGCATGGCACGTAAAAATAAATGATTTTTTTTTCGTTATTATTGTGACTTACTAATAAGCTGTCATTGTTGCACAGTATTTCACCAACACCGAATCAATAATGCCATTAAAGAATCTTAATCTATAGATTTTCTTTACATGTCTCACGATCTTATCGAAACTTCCATTCACAACAGCCTTTTCACGATTATTACCACCATAAAAAGCAATCTCTTCTGAATGAGTAATTATTCGAGACTGTAAATAAATTAGTAGTCATTGTTGTTGAAAGAAAAATTCAAGTAATCAAAAAAAATTCCTTAAATAATAATAATGTTGTGATTATTATGATTATTATAAAAAGAACATACATGTGTAAAACGGAAGTCACCCTCTAGTTTTTGTTCTATAGCAGTAACTATATATATATAATATTTATTGTTATCACTATTGTTAGTTTTATAAATTAAAAAATAAAAATTATATATATAATCATTTTTTCATACATTTTCCAAATGGTGGTGACATGGCACGTAAAAATAATCCAGACGACATGAAATATACAATCATATACAATGGCGCTTTCAAATAAAAATATTAGTATATATGAATATAAGTGATATATATATATATATATTATATATAAATCTCGATATTTTAATATAATAAATACCTTCTCTTCCACTAATTTTTAAATATCAAGAAAAAATTTTATAAATAATTGCAAATAAGTAAAATAAACTCGCAAGCTTTTTTCATTTTGATTACATACATGGCTTCTCCCAACTTATAAGCAAATAATATTACATCTACTAAAGGTTTAGCAATATCTGAATATAAATGACTCAAGTTTTCTGCAAATTTATCAATATCCTAAATTTATTTCAAAAAAAAAATTTTTTTTGAAGGAAAACCATTAAAATATATTAAATGAGTAATAAATGAATACTAATAATATTAATGATAGTAAATGTTACCTGAGTAAGCAATTGATCTGCATTTTGAATTCTATTGTCAATGTTTGAAATTTTATAAAATGTAATATCTTTTAAATATTGTTCGTGAGCATACTTATAAATAGATAATGAGAGAAAGAAAGAAAGAGAAAATATGATTATTAATTAATTGATGGTAATTATCTAATATAAATAAATAAACATGAAAAAGTAATAATAGTCACCCTTGTAAGGCGTGTTCTAAATGATAAAGCTAATGCATTTATAGTAAGTTTTAAGGAATTGTTTACTACGCTCATTGGCCACTATATTATCAAAACGATAATAAATTATTATTAAAAAAAAATCAAAGTCAATCATAAATATTTCTTTCCTTTATTCTTTCTTTCTTTTACCATCATTAATCCGAATTCTATGACCGCTCTTGAAATAAAAGCTTTTCTATCTCTAGATACAATTGCTTTAACTACGTGACTGTATAATAATAATAATATTAGTTTTAATATGAATTGGAAAAAAAAATAAGAATCATTAAAAATTATCATCAATTCACAAGAACTCTTACCCATTGAACGCTGAAAACCTTTCAAAATCCAGAATTAGTGATAATAAATCAAAGGAAAAATAAGAGATTATTTTAATGTATGGAAATAATCAATCAATTATTTTTCCGAACAATAATTTTGATTTTTTAATTTTTACCATATGTCAAGCCATGTACGAGCAATTAAAACAAATGCAAGACTAATAAGTAGTATGAATTCCTTGGTAGCAACACCTATTTAAAAAAATAAATAATAATTAAAATTATCCACTTTCTTTTTTTTTTTTGTTCTTTTCAAATAATGGTATAATATATATATTATCCTTTTTTTTACCAGGTATACAAATTGGTAATAATTTTCTAATCTGTGCAAAAAACCGTGCATCTACACCAACTTTTTTATTTCTTTTATTTCTATAATCGTGTGTTAAGGCAGCACGAGCAGCACGAGCCTCTTGTCTTTTTTTTTCGTTCTCTGCATACTGGTTAAGGATATATAATAAAACAACACCACCAGTAATAAACAGTATAGGCTTTTTTTTTGAAGAATGAGGTTTAGATAATATCGCATGAGGCACTGATAATCTTTGTCCCATTTCAATTAATTAGTTATTAAAAATGAAAAATAAAAAAAAAAAAAATAATTCGTTTAAATCGAATCTTGAAATTTTTTTAAATCTGAATTAAAGATGACCGTAAAAGGCAATTTGTCATACTATGCATATATATATAAATTCTTCACAATAAATAAATAGAAAAGTCAAAATGGCAGTAATTTTACCACCGGAACTTTTAATACCAATATTCAAATACATTAAAGATGATTATAAAACACTATATTCTTGCATTCTAGTAAACAAACAATGGCATAACATCAATATTCCAAATTTATGGAGAAATCCCTTCTATTCAAAAGACAGTGTAAAAATATTAATAAATTGTTTATTAGCAGAAGATAAGGATATTTTGGTGAATAATGATATTCAATTAAACTTTAAATTATTGGAAAAAAAACCACCAATATATAATTATGCCAAATTTGCTACTGAATTAGATTTTAAGGGAACTTATGATTTAACTAGGATGGTTACTTTAAATTCTTATAGTGAATGTTATCGATGTTATCGATTAAAGGAAAAATTAGTAAACTTCATTTTAGATTATTCGACCATTAGAAAACTTGATACTATTTATTCAGGATGTAATCAGTTAATTAGTCATCACAGATTCAATGCTTGTTTTCAACATCTTTACAAATTAAACTGTGAATATTGCAATAGTTGTGAATTTTTTGATAAATTATCAAATGTTTGTAGAAACATTCAAGTTTTAAAAATCAATATTAAAAATGCTGGGCTATTAAATGATTTGCATGATTATGAAAGTAGACTGGTTCATTTAATTAAAGTGCAGAATCAGATCAAACAGTTATTTATTGATTCAGATAATTATGAAAATATAAGTTTTTCAGATGATTTCAAAGAATCAATATTGAAACATTCAAAATCAATAGTCCATTATAAAAGTAATGAATCAAATAATATTGATTCTTTAATAATACCAAAATTACAAAATTTAAAAGTTTTACTATTGAAAAGTTATATTGAAAATTCTATGATAAAAAACATAAAATCTATTTTATTTCCAAATATTGAAACAGTGTATATAAACTTTGTTAAACAACCATTTCTTTTAGATGTCTCAGAATTCATAAAAATCAATGGAAATAATCTTAAAAGTTTGACAATAATTGGGGACCCAAATGATGAAAATGTTCTAGAATTATTGATTCAAACAATTGCAGAAAATTGTCAAGATTTAAAAAAATTAACAATATTATATAAAAATAAATTGGATAAACAGTTGACTAAAGTGTTTGTTAATTGCATTAGATTGGAGTGTATTAAATTTTATTCCTCTAGATGGGATTATATAATGGATGGTGATAGAATATTGTCAGCTTTAAATCAAACATTACCAAAAAACCTAAATACTTTACATTTTGGGAATCTAATTACTATCCTTAGCAATAATTCTTTGGATGTCTTTATGAAGAATAGGAAAGAAAGTAAGCTTTTTACAATAGTATTATCAGAACACAATGAATATTTGGAAAATTTGAAAAAAAATAGATTGGTGAAAAAATATGAAGATCTAGGATTTTTATGTATTAGATTCGAAGTTTGATGGCAGATAAAATCTAGATGCACGTGATGTATATTATTTTTTCAGATAAATTATAAATATGTCAAAAACAAGAAATAGGAATCAAAATCAAAATCAAATAAATGATATATCAGAATATTCATCGTCCATAAATAATTATAATTCTGTTGCAATTTTTACTACTTTTAATTTATCATGGCATTTATTAATAACATTTACACAATTAATGCTTCTAACATTGTCTTTATTCTATTTTCCATCGATAAAATTGTTGTATATATTAGATGATAGTGTTAACAGCTTAGCTATTAGTGTTATATTAATATTAGTTATACAGTCTTTTAGTGAAAGCTTTAGATGGATTTTATATTTGGAGGGTGAAGGAGGTGGGATTGAAACTAGAATTACAGCCAAAACTATTTTTCGGAATCTGATGAATTACAGAGGCGAAGTAAGTAAATAATGAATCAATGGGATTATTATTATTAAAAGTATATATCAATTATATTAATTATTTAATTATTATTTATATAGCATTTTGCAACATCAATATTTACAACATTGTTTGGTGCATGTTTATTTTATTTAATCGCAATTTTATTTGGGGCACCACTATATGAGTTTAGTAGATAATATTACTTTAATGATGAAATGATACTGGCATATACATACATACATAATTATTCACACGCACCTCAATTTGTAGAAATGCTCGACAAACAATACTATTTTCAATATATTTATCAATATTAGCAATCTTTCCTTCTTCATTAACATTGAAAGATCATTTTCCTGCATGGGCAAGAGTTTTTGCAAGTAATAAGTAATGTGTATAAATAAATAACAAAGAAAGGGATGAGAGTGTGTTTGTTATATATTTTATATACATGTAATATTAATCTTTAAATATAATAATACTTGTTTTATTTATCAAAAAAAGTCCAGAGACAATACCAGAAAGAATGATTTATTATCCAGCAGTTTTTTCAGTATTGGGCGCATGGATAAGCGCAATTTTCATTCAATTCGGTTGGAATAAATCATGGCAGGTCATTATAAATTATCATCATCGTCATCATTATTACTATTGTAAATCATTAATTAATTAATTTTATAAATAAAGGTTTGGCCAATTCCTTGTGTTGTAGGAAGTTATGTTGGTTATGTTTTAGGAAGTTCTTATTCTTTAATTTCTAATTATTTTAGAAATGAAAGTTTGGCCGAAAGAAAAAGACGGGAATAAATAATTTTTTAATTGTTGATTCTAAATAAAAATGTAACTTTTAATACTAATATTAATATTAATATAATGCATTGTATTATTACCCAGTAAAAAAAATGTTATATTTCAATATTATGGGGAGAAACATTCTAGTGTGAAAATATTAATTAATCATGTCTTAAGAAAACTTATGATGCTTTAAACCCTTGTAGTAAATGTTGTTTAAAGAAAAATTAGTAAACTTCATTTTGATATTTTACAAACATTTGATAATTGTAACAAAAGCATTGAATCTATGATTGTTAATCAATTACTTACGTCTCAATAAATAGTTGAATAATCTAAGTTCTAAAAATAAGTAAATGAAATATTAAAAGATCACCCAAGTTTTTCAGATGATTTTCAAAGTTTTATTATTAAAGTGTAATAAGAAAATTTCAACTACAAAGAGTATAAAATCCGAACACTGTGTTTAAATTTTAGAATTTTCTAGGAGGACAATTGCTAAATTATATGAACAATTAACTAAAATATTTTTCGTTCGCAACATGACAAAAAATATAATGTCTAAAATAAAAAATAAGATCACATGGACCAAAAGAATATTAACTTTCTTAATTGTTGCTTCTCCTTTGAAGGTGTATAGTTATCTCTTTTATGTTTTAAGAATGGCTTGTCGAACAGATTTGCAAGCATCACACGCAATTTTTTTCTCAAACGTGAAGATACGAGTAGTCGAAAAGAAAAAAAAATATTAATATGTATTGCCACATTCCCGTTTTCTACAAAACGACCAGCTCTTATTAATAATAATATGGAAACCATGCGAATCTCGAATTTTAATGTTCTGACAAGTTGTTACTGAATATATTTATATATATGGCATTAAAAAATTTAATTTGAAAAAAAGTTTTATCCTCTCGAGTAAACGATATTGATTAATTTATCAACTTTACCAGTACCATTATTGTCATTATCATCAGTATTTGTGGTAGCAGACATTATTATTATCGTTGAACATTAGTCATAATTGGTAATCTTCTTTAGAAAATAACGTTGATTATGTTATATTATATTATTAATTTTATTGTCGAATTTCAAATGTCATAGAAAGTAAAAACTATGCAAAGTTTTGATTTACGATATATCTTACCAACACGTCAAGCTTTTATATATTTAAATTTTTGTCACGGTTAAAATTGAACCAATATATGATCAACCAACCGCGGTTTTTAAGCCATGGTTCAAACAGGTTTAACATGGTTTTCAAACAATCTAATTGATTTTGATATATGTGAAGGTTTACGACCACCAACAATACTTGATGATTATCTACAAAAGATGAAGAAGTGTTGGGATGCGGATCCATCAAAAGACCAACTAGTGAAATGAGCCAAAAGTTTGAAAAATAATAATAGTAACAATAATAAAAAGATTATTCAAATTTTCTAAAATCAAAAAACATGACATTAATTTTAATAATGACAGTAGCAGCAGCCGTAGTGGTGATGGTGGTGGTGATGATTCGTAACAAGCACACAAATCGCATTTAGATGCAAAATTTCTGGTCAAGCTGGCAAAGCATTTGACATTTATTTATCATCACATTTTTTAAAAATTTGCTATATTATAATAAATAATTCTATTTTAAATTATTTGTCATGATTTTTTATCATCATCATCATTATTACCACCACTATTACTATTAATATTACCACTATTATTATTACCACTACTATTATTATTATTATCATCCTTCTCACCAAAATTCTTCTCATTATTGTTATCAGATTTGGTATTGTCACTTCTACCCTGGAGTAAAGATGTCGATGAAGATCTTTTATTTGATTCATTGTTATTCAAATGTGGATCATCACCAACATGTTCTAGTTTATCAGCAGCAGTAGTTGTAGTTATGGTCACGGTTGCAGTTTCTGATAGAGGATTATTTGAAATAACATACATTGAACCATCTTTTTCATCCTTGATAAAAAGATTATCCTGTTCATCATTATAAATGGCATATTTTTTATGATTGTTTACATTTATGATATTAAGTTCTTGATCTTGATTTTCTAAAGTCATCAAAGTATAACTGTTTTGTTGTGAGGCAGTCGGATTTTCATTATCATTAATAACAACAATATCAAGATTTCCACCCTTCGTGTTATTATCACCATCGACATTGATTTTTTCAGTGTTTTTTCTTACTTTTATTATTTTTACTTTATGAAGATAATTCACTGATGGAAATGTAGTTGAATTATTGACTTTTTTTCCTATTTTTATCTTTTTTTTTTAACCCACCCCCAAAAAATTAGTATATTGGTATTAATTATTATCATTATTATGATGATGATTTGCTGACAATTCAAATGAAATTAATATATTAATAATTTTAGTTTATTTACCAATGGAACAGATATCCCATGAACAAAAATTGATCCAAAAACAATAAAGTAAACAACTAAAAAAAAAAGATTATTAAAATATATTGAATCTATAATTCAAAATTTTTTTTTGTATATTTTCACATAATGATGAATTATTATAATAATAAATAATAAATACCTGGTACAATCAAATCTCTCACACGAGCGTTAGGGTCATCAGGATTTTCAAGTTCATTATTATAATGTGTAAAGGTTTCTCTTGCAACTTGAGCATAAAACACTGCACCTAAAAAAATATTAATATTGTTTAAATATTCTAATCAATCAATTAAATATTAATTAATGATGATAATAAAATAACTACTAACTAACACCCATTGGACCAAACCAACCAGTAAATAAAGCTAAAGTAATTTTTTTATGTTTTTTGTTAGCAAATAATAATAACAATAACCAAAAAACAATAAGATTTAAAAATTATTACCTTCTTGAGTTGTTTTTACAGCAGGCATAAATTTAAATAAAGCCATAACAATAGGAAGTCTACGAAAGAAAAGTATAAAAATAGCCATCAAAATTAAACGCCAATATGATAAGCCTAAATAATCATCATTATAGGAGGACCATGGCATGGCAGTTCCAATAAATACAAATATTGTCATATTAAAAAGCATATCAATAACTTCTTGAACATTTGACCCATGCATTTCTTTACGAAACCAATCACTATTATGTAGTTAAATAACAAATATGTGGCTAATAAATATAAATATGAATATAAATATAAAAATTTATTCATATGTTTAATATTAAAATACTTGCTCCCAATTTAAAGAACACCCTGTTATAAAAGATGCTAATAAATCATCACTACTTATAATTCCAACAATTCCCAAAACAAAGAACTATAAATAAATAAAATTAATAATTATTATTAAGAAAAATAGTATATTTGTCTTTTACTTACAGCCAATACAATTATAAAAGCCAAGAAAACCTCCTTATCAATAAATCCCCTATTTATTATAAAAAATTTTTTTGTTAGTTATTTATTTGAAGAATAAATTTCTTCTAATCCCTACCTTTCCCTACCCCCAAAAAAATTATAAACCAGCCAATCAATACCTTTGAAATGCCCAATAAATAATTTTTCTACCAATATAACCAATAACAAATCCAATCACTACAGATAAAAGGATTTGATAAACCATTATATAATACACCCATTTTCCAAGAGCTTCTCCAGTAGGAAGAGTCATTAAATAAATACAAAAGAAAAGAAAAGGGTATCCAAGGCCTTTAATAATGATGATATTATTAATATTAATACTAATTAATATTTGCATATACATGATTTCATTTATTATTTTCTTTTTATAATTAAAAAAAAAAATCTCAATAATCACTAACCATCATTTGCCGCACTAAATAGTATAGAAAAAAATTATTTGTAATTAAATATTTATATATTAAATAATATAATATATATTTATACATCTTGCAACTTTACCTCTCGGCTGATATGGCATCTCTGACATTAGCAGGAACATATTTTTCAGCATATTTTCCCTTTATAATGGAATTTGCCAATACCTTTATATAATATATAATATGTAATATGTAATATATATATTATTAAATCAATTTTTTAAAAATAAATAAAGTAAAAACTAAAAAATTACATACAGGATCAGTTGGTGTTACCGATGAAGCAATCAATAATGCACCCAACTAGTCAGAATAAATAAAATTTTTTTGCTGTGTAAATATTATTGTTTTATAAATTAAATAATCAACAATCAAAAAACTCTTATTATTTACAAAAGTAAGTCGCGGTACGAATAAATAAACAGCAAGTCCACTAACAACCCACATCCATGACATAACAGGAACAACCAGAATTATTATAGATCTGAATTCTGTTCGTAAGTATGCTCTAAATATTGATCAATTAAGCAATTTTTCAACAGATAAAATAAAAAATTTAATCAATCAATCAATTATTTTTATAATTACTTTGGTAAAACAACACCTGCTGCCATAACCTGCATGAAAATATTAGATTAGTGGATGTATAGATTATTTGTATGAAAAGATCATATCATATCATATCAATTATGATGTACCTGTATTGCTATTACAATCCTAGTAAATTGTTTGGCCATGATATTTACATCTCCCAAACTTTTAGGATTAATTATGTTTAAGACATAAGGTCCAACTATAACGCCAACTATAAAAGCTATGACTAAAATATAATAATGGTTTTTTTTTGTATGGTAAATCTAAATCATATAGAATGATTAATTTATTTATTTTATCACATAAACAAACTTACGTGTCTCTGATATATATATTTTTCCTCTTACAAGATATGATACAAGACCAAATATTAAAATAAAACTACCAAGTACCAATGCAATGACTGATACTTGGTCATCAACATTTAGAAATGCTAATTCCATTTTATTAATTAATTTTAAAATCAAGAAATTAAAATCGTCGTCTTATTTATTTATTTATCGACATTATTAGTATTGGTTTGAATTAAAAATTAAAAAACAGACTGTCTCACAAAGTTTTTATTTAACGATATAAATAAAAATATTGTCGGCGATCACCGTAAAGTATTGAGATGTATAAAAACGGAAAAGTTTTAATTAAAAAAGGCGATCCTACTTGGTGCTTCAGGACTTTTACGGTTTTTGCATTCATCACGAGATTATTCATAAATTTTCATGAACTATGGCGGATAAAAGGTTTTTTGAATTAAATGCTGCACGTCATTTTATAAACCGTTACACAACATTTTTTTAAACACGCCACACATACCTGCATACGTTCCAAAGTTGCAGGCACCAAATTATCTAATATATCAAAAAATGCTACATATTGTGGAGTTTTTGAGAATTTGAATCTTTCAACCACAAATCTTCTATGGTTGGCTCGGTCTAAAGACCTCCTATTTCTGCGCCACGTGGCCAAATTTCAAAAATAGCAATTTTGTAATTTGTTCAAAAATGCAATAAAAATTTTCGAAAATAGGACTTCACGTGATTTTGGGTTTAAAAATTTATTTCGTACTGCCAAATGTAGATATGATGGTCATGTATTAGTCTAAATTTAGAAATGATTTTTGTAGTTTGGTCTAAATTTAGTAATGATCCTAGCGGCCAAATTTCTCGTAAAGTACATGTTCTAAAAAAGAATAGAACTCTACAACAAATGATTTTTTTGAGAATATCTCATTATTACATTAAAACTAAAGACCTATTCTATCAACTAATAACGTTATTTTTTTAAAAGATAGGACAGAAAGTGACTTCTATACTTTTAAAATTTATGCATAACTTAGGAGGTCTTTAGACCGAGCCAACTATAACTAATTCCCAGTCACATCAATGTATATATCTCCAAGGTTTTGGCTTTACAGCTAATTTATGTTTCTTGTTAAAAATGCTTCTATATAACTGATCAAAAAATGGCCAGAAGGTAAAAAAAACAAATTATTTTGTATTTAGAGCAAGATGTAGTGGACCAAGGAAAGGAAACAAATGAGTAATTTTTTCTGTAATGTTCATTTCATTTTCATTTTTTAGTTTTTAACAATAGTTTGACAATATATAGTTGGCCAGGAAAATCAGGTGGAATAAATATCACATTGTTATATGAGCATTCTTGTATTTCAGGTAACCCAATAAATGTTTTTATTGCTTGCAGATAATCATTGATATTTTTTAAACTCAATTCAATGAGGTCAATCAGTTTTGTCATGGTGAATTTTCTTCTGTATTTTTCATAAACATCTGGATCATATGAATGCACAGTCAAAGATTCTATAAGCTCATTTTCAATCATGTTTATAATACATTGAATAAATTGCCATAGCATTTTTAAGAATTAAAACATTAACACCATTATGATTGTGAATTAGATGATTATTATTTGAATAATATGGAATGGGAGCTACATTTTTATTGTTAAATAAAATTGTTGCCATATGAGCAATTTGTGATATAAAAGTTACACTTGACACACTTGTACTGTGTAAATTATGATAGTCATCAATGTTGACAATTAATAGATTGTGAAAAAATTCCTTAATATAACTCTTGACAGTCAATTCATGTTTCTTTACTATTTTTCTAATTATTATATACTGTTTGATAAGTAGAACCAATTCCCATATTAGCTTATGTGTTTATACCTTATTAGTATAATCATACAAAATTTGAGGTGATGTAAATAAGCGGTGGTATACCATTTTTTAAGTGGGCATTTTTTCAATTTTACAATACTCTTTACATATAAATTGTTGATCATCTTTGTTGTTTTGAATAAGTTTGAAAATAGATTTTTAATTATGCTTAGGACATCTCACCCCATTCAATTATGTATGACAATCCAGGGTCCTACCTCGATTTCCATTACCTAATAATAATGAATGTACAACAACTTTGAACATCCCTCCCTCTCTAATGTAAAGAATAAATTTAAAAAATCTATTATTCTTCTTTTAAAAACATTTATATAATGTCACATGATAAATTATTATTACCAGAAAGGAAGGAATTTGTACTTAAAAAATTTAATGAAATGCACAGCTGTGATAGTTGTGGTGAAGACAGAAAAAATTTTTTTTTTTCATTAGTTGAAAAAGAGGAGGAGCTTTCAGAAGTTGAAAAATTTTTTTGTAAAGAAAAGTTTATTTATGATTTAGAATTAAATAATGCAACGTATAAAGAAGGAAAACCGAAAAAATGTAACAAGTGTAAATTGAAAAAATACTCTGATAGGTTCTGTGAAGGTTGTATTAGTTTACAATTACAGAGTCTTTTCACCGCTTGGACATCTGGAAATGACACAATTGACAACTTTATTAAACAATGTCAAATGAAATTATCTTTACCAAACTACATTTTAGAATGGATACCTTATGAGCAATTTGAAGATGTAGAAAAATTAACTGAAGGTGGATTTAGTTCAATTTATACTGCTGAATGGAAAAGAGGTTATATAATTGGTTATGATGAAAAGGAAAAAAAGTTTAGTTATTTTGGAAAGCAAAAAATAGCATTAAAAAAATTAAATAATTCAAGTAATCCAAACAAAGAATTTTTTGATGAGGTTGGTGGTTTTTATTTAAATCAAAAGTAAATCATAATATTAATTGATTTTATATTTATTTTCAGGCAATTAATTATTGTAAAATTAAATCAGGAATGATTGTTATTTGTCATGGTATAACTAAATTTCCAGATAATGGAAATTATGCAATGGTTTTAAATTATTTACAAGGTGGAAATTTAAGAAAACATTTACATAAAAATCATTTAAATTTAACATTAAAAGATAGAATTACAATCTTTGATTATTTATGTAATGCATTACACCAGATACATCAGAAAGATTTAATCCACTGTGATTTACATAGTGGTAATATACTTGTTCAAGGAGGTAATTGTTATGTTACAGATTTAGGATTATGTGGGCCAGTTGATGAAAAATCATCAGATAAAGTCTATGGAATTGTATCATATGTTGCACCTGAGCTACTTAGGGGTAAAATCAATGCAAAGAACACAAAAGAAACAGATATTTATAGTGTTGGGATGTTAATGTGGGAAATATTTGCAGGACATCCACCATTTGATGATAGAGCTCACAATCATTGTTTGATTTTTGATATATGTGAGGAAGGTTTACGACCACCAATACTACCTGGAATGCCTGATGATTATGTGCAAATGATGCAGA